ATTTGTGCAATGTGGCTTTCTGAGAGGGCTTTCTCAACCAGTCCAGCCATGAGATCATAATCTTGTGAGGTGGAGCCTACCTGCTGTTTCAGAAGGACTCAGAGGCCCTCTGAGTCTGGGCATATCTAGAATTCACTCTTTATTGGAGAAGCATCAGTTAAGTCAGGTGTGGTGTGTAGAAAAGAATGAATAGGCTGGTACGTGCATCTGCTCCTGCCACTGTGTGGCCAAGTTGGCTGGAGGCAGTCAACTTACACAATTTTACTTCACTTTTTGTTAGGGGCTTAGAATGACTCCAGCCAGCACAGGATTCTGTCCACAGATTGGGTAGAAGTTGTATCTCAGTGCAAGAGGAAAAGAGGGAGACGTACCATGCAGATGTGTCAAGAGATTTACAGGGGTTGCATGGCATGGTCCTCTGAATCGTAACATCCCTTTGTAGGAGAGGGAGCCTCACTCAGGGGGTAAATGGCAGGTAAACAGAGGTTACACATCTGGGAGAAGAGACTTGGTAGATTCATGAGGGCAATTATTAACAGTATGAAAGGGAGTACTTGCTGGTGCTGGAGATACTGACAAGCCAAACCCTGGGAGCTGTCTGCAAGGAGCAGAGTGAGCTCCAGGGTCAGAGCCTTCAGGAGTCATCTGCCATGCTGGAACAGTCTTCCTGCTGATGTAGCTACATTGGTCAGAACTTTATAGGAAAGTTTGTCATCCCTGTTCCTTGTAAGTAAGCCCTCACTTATCCACCTGTTGGTAACCCCAATACAAACTCACTGGTCCACCAAATTGAATACTGGCACAACTGTCTGTCATGGGCTTTGTCTCTGGGGTGAGTGTACATGAGTGCTGCATCTCTTCCAACAAAGTCTGTCACACTATTGCTTGACAGGTCAGTTGAAGCTCTCCTGTGAGACATGTTTGCATCTTGTCCCTTTCCTAACATCCACCAACAAGAAAAGCTTGCCAGACACTCATTTGGGGGACATTATTAGAAGTGTGCTCTCAGCAATCAGAATGTGACCTTTTACAGATTGCTTTCTGGGAAAGAGTGAGGGGAAGGAGCATCAGAGAGAAGTTAGATGCAATAGCTATCCAGAAATGACCAGTGCAACGTTCTGTCATGTAGGGCAGACACTGTTTCTAACCACCCAAATATTTCTGGGGTTGTTTAAAAAAAAGCAGCCCACCTCATATTGAGAAGGAAGAACAAAATGATAGTGAGTAGGTGAGTTTGGAAAAGAGGGACAGACAAAGCTCAACAACCAAGTAATGACATCAACAGGTTTCCTCTCAGAAACAAAGGCAGCTGGGTACCATGGCAAACATCTTTAATCCTAGCACTGGGAAGACAGAAACTGACAGATCTCTGTAAATGTGAGGCCCACTTGGTCTACACAGCCAAGTTCCAGGTCCCCCAGAGCTACACAGTAAGATTCTGTTAAAATAAAAAAGAATTTAAAAAAAGAGAGAGAAGGAAAAGGGGAAGAAGAGGAGGAGGAGGATGGAAGAAAGGAAAGAAAGAAGTAGAAAAGTAGAATGTGTTGGTAACATGAGAGAGGGAATGAATGATTAGTATTTCCATGAATTTTGACAGTGTGTAAAATACATACAAGAAGGTGGTGCATCTGTTTGGGTTGGTTCTTTAAGGATCAATTAAAAAAAAAAACCAACATGTAGGAAGAATACATACTTTTACCATGAAACTAAATGCACTTTTCTTATCATTTAGCAGTGAGGTAAAATGAGTTACATGCCAAGATTTCTACACGGCTGTTAGATGGACACTGTATTTTGACATCACAAAGGTAGACATAAGAAACAGTGCATCGTGTGGCTTATGAGCTTCTAGAGTTTCTCTCTGTAGCAATGGAAAAAAATGTCACTGTGCTCAGAGTCCCCAAGGAACCATATTGTCTCTCCATCAGACACTTCCAGCTAAGCTCATTGCTCTGAATCTGAGCTTGCTCCCAGCCCAGAACATCTCTCACTCAGATCTCTTCAGGCTTTGGTCTTGACATTGCCACATTCCCAAGTCTGAGTGAAACTGGCTACTCTTCAAGCCATGGCCTGCTTAAATAGGCTCCTCCCATAAGCATGGACTCCATGGGCCAGCCCCACACACTGCAGCTAGCTGCCCTAGGTGTCAACCACAAACAGGAAGAATGAAAGACACTACTCATAAGTTCCACTGAACATCTTAAAAGAAAGGATGTGCAAGTAGAGAAGCCACGTGGTGGGGAAGGGGTGGAGGGTGGGGATTAGGTGGACCACTCCAAACTGAAGCGGAGGAGGTCCTGTGAGAGTGGTCCTTGGGACACTCTTTCCTGAGACAAGCTGAGGTGAGGTCTCACCTTCCAGATTCTCTCCTGTCTTCATGGAATACCCCTACCATAGTGAACCAGCCAACGAGCTCACAACAGGAAACCACACAGGTCCCGACCATCCTATGCAGGCTCCATGCAGGGGCAGCTTCAAACTTTTCTTCTTGCTCTCAGAATGAAGAGTCTCAAGTAAGCCTCCCTCTTCCCAGGCCATTCCTCCCTACGGGGAACCACTCTTTCACTTAGATTCCTTTGCACTTCACACATCTGCACCATCATTCCCTAGCCAGAGAATCTGTGAAAGGCATAATTATTTATGCTCCTTCAAATCAGAAGATCACAAAATCCCTCCTAGGACTTTCAATCAAAGTACATCTAGCTTCAACAAAAGGTCAACTCTTCAAGATGTCCCTTCTGTCCCCGCCTCCTACGTACTTTCTCTTCTCAGAGACAAGACTCAGAGGTTTTTAGTCCCTCCCTCCCCTTTGTTTTCTATTTTTATATGTGGATATTTTCCCTTGTACCTATGTGTACGTTTTATCTGACTTAGACATTTAGCTGTGATTTATTGAGCAGCTACTGTCGCCAGGTGTAGTGTGTCATCTTTCTGCCTTTACTGAAGCTTGGGGAGGCACTGCACGAGCAGACAAACAAAAAAAGGCATTCCAGATATGTTTGCGAAAGAAACCTGGGCGATGTCACAGGACTGAGGTGTGTAGGGAGGGGTCCTTTCACAGGCAAGAGCTAAACTGAGATTACTGGGCACACTTGTGGAAACATGCCTGGGGACCATGCAAGTGGGAAAGAGAAGGTGCCAACAGATGAAACAACAAGGACTTCAGAACAGAAGGGTCATGCCTCCCTTCCATTTCCTCCTCATAAGAGCTGGCTGGGGCAATCTCCATCTATGGCCAAAGCCAGGGCTGCCTGTGATCAGGCATGCATCTCTGTTTTGCTGAAGACATACATGAGCTTCTCTTGGAGGCAAACATTGTTTGCAACTCTCTTTCCTGTCATAGAGTAGGAGAGGAATCTGGTTCACCACATCCCTACCTAAGTCAGACACAGTGTTCCTGTGTGGAATTATTTGCACCCCTTTCTGAATGACTCGTATCCAAAATGAAAGAATTAGGCAGGGTTTGGGGAAGATAGTCAGGTCATGAGAAAAGGTTCCTCACAGATGACACAAACGACTATGTAGCTCTGGGGAGACAGCTCAGTGCTTGAATATTTCTAACAGTGAGGCCCTGAGTTTGATTCCCCAGGAAGGGGTTGGATGGAGCTGCTTTTATTAACATAGATTTGGAAGGAAGCAATGCAACTTCTTCAGGTGAAAGCATGGGATGCTTTCAGTCACTATACTTTTTTACTTCTTTGTACATGTATGTGTTTTTAGCCTAATGCAGGTGGTAGACACATGTGTTCATGGACACATAGTGAGCACATGGGAGCCAGAGGGCAGCACTGGGTGTTTTCCTTGCTCTCTCTCCACCTTGGTTTTTGAGAGACTCTTATGGAGCTCATGGGTTAGGCTGGGCTGACTGGTCCACCAGTGAGATTCTAGGGTTATCTTACCTCTGCCCAACCCCCATCCCCCAAGCACCGGAGGAGTGATGGCATATGTGGCCAAGCTTGGTTTTTTATGTGTGTGCTGGAGATCTGAGCTCAGGCCTCATGCTGATGAGGCGGGCACTTTACCGAGTGAGCCATCTCCCTGGCTCTCTGTTTTCACTAGGTTTATTCTTGTTACCTGCCGCACGACTGAACGGAACAATTAATGCTCAATCCAACTTAATCGAACTCTGATAACAAGTTTAGTTTCCCCAGGAAGAGGTATTTGTTAAGCTCTACAGAGTTGGCTCATGTCAGAAGACAATCCTCGAAAAAGGTGTGAAGACATTTTATCACAGTTTCGGGAACAGAGGGAGATTTATTATGGTTACCAACGCTATTTTTGTCAATGTCTTTGGAATTCTAATTAGATTATTAAAACTTTACAAATCATTACACGAGATCCAGACTCAACACCTTCCTGCAACAAGGGTGCTTCTGAGACGAGAGCATCCCCGTGCCCCAGGTAATGATGCATTGGCTGAAGATAAAGTTGCAGGGAAATTCTGCCAATAAAACCAGTTGGAAGAGACAGAACCATTCATCTTACTTTCTCTCGCAGGCTTATGCCTGAGGATATGATGTCTGCCACACAGAACATCAGCCTCTCCCCTTCCATGTCAGCAGCTGCACGGTGCTGGCTCACAGACTGGGAAGATAATGGCTTGTCCTGGCTTCTTACATTTCGCCCCTTAAATCTGAGAGGCAAATCAAAAATATTTACAAGTGACATAGCACTTTGAAAAGGAATAGTTTTAGGAGAGAAATGAGACAAACGGCAGACTCAACACCTAAGAATCGTATATCTTAGAGCATTCTGATTTACAACATGTGCACTCACAGTAATACCTGAGGGGAAACAAATGGCTCACTGTTAACTCAGGCCCCTTGGCAGGTTATATATGCAGGTGCTCTTTACCCATCAGATAATGGCTCTGGAGCCCTTCAGCATCGGAGGGCAAGGAATGGTATCACCCTTGGTCCTCTGAGAGATAACCTGATTCCTTCAGGTACAGATCCCAGCCTTCACTTTCTAGTTAAAGGAAGAAGATGGAGCTTACTCACCGTGATGTACGACGCCCTTCAACCCGTGGATAATAGGATCCAGTGCAGAATTGTCCCTCGGACTGACCTACATGTAAGGGAAACATGATTGGTTAAATATGTCCTGGCATCAACTCCTACGGCCTCAGTTTAATCTTCTAGAGAGAAGGGGAAACTGGATGTGTCTAGCAAGCTGCTGAGGTCTCACACATACCAAATGCCAAAGATTTATGACACAATAAAATCAAGGGAGGAAGTCTAAATCACAACAAAGAAACTTCTCAGAATACATTATAACAGGAGAGAGACACCACCTCCATAGCAAGATCTTAAAAAGCTACTGCTCCATTTTATTAAAAGCAGCTCCTGATAGGCTAAAACGTCATTGAAAGTCGTCAGAGAACAATCCATCATTGGCTGAGTACTTTGGCACCTTCTGGTGATTGTGTTTTTCCTTTCTTCTTAGAAAATGTACCAGTTCCCTGCCAGCTCATTCTCCTCTGTAAAGACCCCAATTCCCTGGGAAAATGCACACTCTCCATGCGCATTTGTAAGAGCCACTCAAAGCAGAATGACTTGGAAAGGGCAACGGGAGATCTGTCTCTACCTTCATCTTTCCTCTAGAGTTGATGTTTCACCAAACCAAGCCTCATTGTTTATGGGCTCACTGGCTCATTCCTGCAACTTTTAGATACTACTTAGATAGTACTTTAGATTAAAATTTCCCCAGCATGCTATAGTTATAATTTTATTTACAAATGAGATATAACAATGTCTAGAGTATGCTTTAAAAAAGTGAAGGAGTGGGTATCAGCTGGAAAATGGGGCAACAGGGGATCATGACCCAATCATTTAGGGCCTTGGGTGATAGGTATAGGAAGGGTGGTGATATGTCCTTTCTACTTCTATTTATGTCCTTTTCCTCCCCTAAAAATAAAGAGCCAAAAATCCAATATCTGTGGTTAGCAAAGTTTCTGCATTTTCCCCTTCAAGGGCTGCAATTCCTATTAATCCACTTCTAGCATAATGAAGTTGAGATATTGATGAACCTTTCAATGTGCAGCAAGACCCAATTTTCTGTTTCAAGTTCACTCAGAGGAATCTGGAGCCAGCCCCATGCCGAACTTCTAGGAACTACAAATGACACACACAACTTCCAGCTTCAGCAGATGTCCCTGCCCTGTGGAGGAGCCATGGCTCTCCTGGAGAATAATCTATACTTCTATACTTCATGCGTTTCTTTCTTTCCCTGCTCCAGCATCTCCAGGACACACTGGCGCCTCTCAACTGGGACAGCCTTGTCCTCCTAAGGGAATATGTGATCATACATTTCCATTTGTCACCACTAAGGTGGGGGGAGGGGTGATTCTATAGAACCCCTGACACCTAGAGAGGAGAGAATAAAACAGCAGTGCTGTTAAACATCTCACGATGCTCACAAACTGTGCCCTGTAACAAGGAACTACCTGATGTTGGAAGTCAGTGTGCAGGGGTGAGTTGAAGAAGCATTTTCAGGAGCTTCCTGGGCAAAATGTCAATATTTCCATGTTTGGAGCCCCAAGTTTGTGTGTATGTGTATCTTCAGAATACAGGGACTATTATGCAGTCTTCTGTTTACAGACTAAGAACATTATGTAGAAGTTGGCATTGCTGTAAACACTATGAAAGAAAAAAAGAAAGGAGGAAAAGGGGCGAGGAGAGGAGGGCTGCGAACTGACACTCAGAGTCTTAGATCGCAAAGGTAAAATTCTGGAAGTTGGCATAACTGAACCCAAACCAGGGCTATGTAGAGATTAAAGTGTAAAACACTCTTTAAAAGCTAACATATGACAAATACTCATAGGATATACCAAATCAAAAGTATACTTGAAGAAATACTGTATTTCCATCATCCATACATCCAATTACTGTAAACACCACGGATGAATTACAATTACATGTACAGATGAATTACAAGTAATTGACTGGAAATTTAAAAATAGCCAAAAAAAATGCAATGCAGGCCTGAGAGACTCTTGTTAAATGTGGTCACATTTCAAAAGTCCATGGAGAAATCTATGTCACAGGCTATTGGTAGAAGGAAGCCTGGGATGAGTGTCCTCTACACATGTGTTTAAGGCTTTGTCTTTAAGTCAGTGCTATAGGAGGTGGTAGAACCCTTAAGACTTAGGGCCTAGGGAGGTTCTCAGTCACTAGGGACATGCCCTGGTGGAGACCGTGGGACCCTAAGCCCACCCTTCCTCTTTAGCTTGTTTGGTGATAAGGTTAGAGGTTAACACGACTCTTCACCCAACCATGTAATACCCACCTCATGTCCAAAGTAAAGAAGCAGGAGGGCAATCAATCATGGATCAGAAAAACAAAAAAATGTAAGTCAAAAGAAATGTTTCCTAAGTCAGTTACCTCATGTATTTTAGTATGCAGCAAGAGACTAACACAGGGTGTTTCTATGATTCAGGGGAAATGTTTATGTGAGTCAAATCACTGAAACTCCTGAAAGTCTGTGAGGAGATGGTGAAACGGTCAAATCATGGACCTCCTTACCACACTCAGCTCTAGAGTGTTTGTGTTCCTCATCAAGGGTGTATATAACTTTTTGAAACAGAATGTCTTATTGTTTGGGATATGGGGAATCTGGTGAATGTGATGAAGGCAGATGCTTACGAGGCATTGGGACCATAAGGCCACCATGAGATGAACCCACACTGGCCCATCACAGGCTAGAAGGGAACAGGAAATGAAATGGATGATCTCAGCTGGTGTCCTTCTAGTTTTCCAACTACCAAAAGGTAAGCAAGGCCACTGGAAGCCACACGGCCTCTGCTGAGCACCTGCAACTCACGGAGAGCTGAGTTCATCCCACCATTATCCACTAATGAATAGAATCCAGGAATAATAACGTGACTGATATTGCAACCATTCGGGGTCATTCTTTCAACAGCTTCTGTGAGTGCATGTTGAGGCTGAGGTTGGAGGAACAGCTATGATATCAATAATTTCCCCTGCCAAAGCTTGTTGCTCACGTTGTATCTTAAAGGTTTCTGGATTAGATTCCCTATCAGACCAGTTCAGCTGACTCAACCCTTCCAAATGCTGCTGCTCCTCTGCTGCTGACTGTGTCAACCTTCTAGAAACAGTGCACAAAGTTTCACTGTTTACACTTCATTTACCTATAGCCAACTGTGATCCAAACAGACTAAATGTAAAAGCAGTAGGTGGTGGTGGTGCATGTCTGGAATCCCAGCTCTGAGGGATGGAGGTAAGAGGGTCAGGAGTTCAAGATTATCCTCAGCTACATAAGGAGTTCAAAGAAAGCCTAGACTACGTGAGACTCAAAAAGCAAGCCAGCAAGGAGAAAGAGGAGGAGGAGAAGGAGGAGGAGGAGGAAGAGGAGGAGGAGGAGGAGGAGGAGGAGGAGGAGGAGGAGGAGGAGGAGGAGAGGATCCTTAAAAGAGAAAGAAATAACTCCTAATTTTTAAATTGAACACTACTTGGAGACCGGTGATGAAATCTTCCAATGTTCAGAATGTAAGTGAACCCACTGCCCCATATGCCAACATCCAATCAGCTTCCTTCCCACTGGTCCCTTAGTCCTGCCATCTCAGTAGTTAGATCAGACGCCCCTGTTGTGCTTAGGTTCAAGTAGCCCTTATTTTATTAACTAAGGGCCCCAATGCCAGCAATTTTATTGTTATAAGAATTCCATGATTAGTTTGTTTGTTTGTTTGTTTGGAGACAAAGTCTCATGTAGCCCATGCTGACCTTGAACTTGCTATATAATTGAAGATGACTTTGAACTCCTGATCATCCTGCCTCTACTTCCCAAGTGCTGAGATGACAGGTATGAACCTCCATACCTGGTTTTTAAGTAGTTATTATTGTTAATTTTCTGATGGGTATACCAATTAATTAATCTATCAACTGAACTTTACTGTAGGTATGCATGAATAGAAAAAAATCTAACATCATGGGTCCAGTATCACCCCTAGGTTTCAGCATTTGCTATAGGCCTTGGAATGCACCCCTGGCAGATAAGAAAGATCACTGCACCGTGAAGTTCCATCCAAGATGAGAAGGGATGTTTTACAGTCCAGGGGCCCTTCAATGCATTTTGTCTTGTCTGATGGTATGAAGGCTCAAAGGAGGTATTCCTAATCCTCCATGACTGACACCCGCTGATAACATACAAGTAGAAAATAACCAGGCAAACTAATCCAAGCTCAATTTCTGTTCACTTGTGATTATAGAACCTCTAAGTTCAACACTCAAACCTGGGCTCCTCTGAGCTCAAAGGCCTGACCCCGGATTCAAAGCAACCTTACAATTCAAAGTCTCTGTGTAGTCTCTTTCAGCTGCTGGAGAGAAGACAGGCAAGGAAAAAGGGAAGAAAATGGAGCTTTTGACTACTCAAAGAAACTTCCTAATAATACTGAGCTCATTCTCTAGTCCATGGGCGGGGAATCTAAACTGCATGCTAATAAGTGGATTTGTTCCAGGAAGGCAAAGCCCTCACCGAAATAATCCCTTCCACTGACTGTTTCAATCAATTTGCCACTTAAACAAAATTGTGGATATCAGCTAAGCAATGTGGGCAGCTTTTCAATGCGTCGGCAGTGAACAAGGCTGCTTTAGCAACCTGTGTTTACATTCTGGTTTCCGTTCCAGCTAAAAGAGGCCAAGAGGGAGGGTGAGAAAATGGAACTCTGAGTCAGGCATGAACCCTCACAGCTTCAGTGTCTACATCCTTACAGTGGGGACATGTTTTCAGAATGTTCTCTGGGGACTAAAAGTGCCTTGGACACAGAGCCTTGGTCTCACCATGGACAACAGTGTCTGCCTGGGTCCTATTGGACGGCAAGTCACCTCAGTCTCCCATATTTCAACGAATGCCAACAGCAGCCATTCCTACCCTGAGCATCTCTCTGTGCTTGCTATAAGAAATACCTCTTTGAGTTCAAATTTCAAAAGAGCCATGGTTTGCTTGACATCCACTCAATTTTGAAATACGCTGCTCATTTTTGAACCGCATGAGGAGGCTTCCTAGCTCTTGAAACTTGCTTCCTTCTACTTTAAGATCAAAGAAGTTGC